TGGACTCCAAACTGCCCTTAGTGTGAGTGTGTGTGGTTGTGGGTCCTTGTGTGTCTCTGTGTGTCCCTGTGATGGACTGGGGACCGTCCAGGGTGATCCCGCCTCTCCCCATTGGCTACTGGGATAGGCTCCGCCCCCCCTAAACCCCATTAGGGAATAAGGGGGTATGATAATGGATTGATGGGGTTCTTCGCACTGTATGCCTACTGGTGTTAACTCAGAGTCCTCCCAATGAAGCCTGGGAGTGTTTCTCTTTATTCTACTCTTTTTTTTCCCCCTTCAAACAAAGAAAAAGCCAACACACCCTCCATCAGTCACCTTTAGCACCTTTCCAGATAAACCTGAAGGAGCGGTGGCCCTCTGAGGGCTTTTTCTGTCCCAGAGGAGCCCACTTCATCATCAACTAGAGAAAAGGGGAGTTTATTTATCCATTTAGATCATCCTATTTCACCTAATTGGTCTAAAAAAATGCCATTTTTCAGTGTCTGCTCGAGTAATAATTTCTTATGACTAGATTTTGTATATAATTTTGCATATTGAAGTGGACTTGTTAAGTCCAATTTGAAAGAAGAAATATAAAATATGATAAAAATATATTTTTGTGTTTATTTGATTCCTATTCAAGACACTTAAGATAAGATAAGAATAAAATAAGAATAACTATAGTGTTATTATAGGCGGCTACAGATTTGTTTGACATTTTTGGTTGGTGGTGTGCCTCGTGATTTTTTCAATGAAAAAATTTACCTTTGGCTCAAAAAAGGTTGAAAAACACTGCTTTAGACAAAGAGAAACAGCCAAAAACAGGTTCAAAGCCCTCACAAATCCTCTAAAACCCACTTTGATTGCACCATTTCTCTAAAAAAATCAGCACAAACCCAGTGAGAGGCTGTTTTTTTTTTCTCCGGGGGTCAGATTCCACGTCCGTCTAAAAGGCGTCGATTAGAAAGCCCGAACGCCCTGATAATAGCATTAATAATAAACCTTTATGGTTGTTGAGGTGGTTCCTGTGTGGCTCGTTCAGAAAGTCCACCTTAAACTGTGAGCTCATCTCTGAAAGTGAGATGAAAGTGGCTCCATTCATCCTAATGACTAATGACTCCTCCATTCATTTGGAATCGGTTTGTTGATGTAAGATTGGGAGAATATCTGCTGCTAAACATCTGAAACTGGACACGGGTGGATTTACCCACCTGTGGGTTCAGCTTACGGGTTGTTTTCACCACAAACAGAGCCTGATTTGCCTTAACCTGGTGCTCTGGAGAGGGAGAAGTTAGAGACAGTGTTTTTCAACCTTTTTTGAGCCAAGGTACAGTTTTCCTTTGAAAAAATCACGAGGCACACCACCAACCAAAAATGTCAAACAAATCTGTATCCGCCTATAGTAACACTATAGTTATTCTTATCTTATTCTTATCTTATCTTAAGTGTCTTGAATAGGAATCAAATAAACACAAAAATGTATTTTTATCTTATTTTATATTTCTTCTTTCAAATTGCTCTTAACTTGTCCACTTCAATATACAAAATTATATACAAAATCTAGTCATAAGGAATTATTACATGATTACTCCACCAGTCAATAGAACAACACAGAGACTCAAAAATGGCATATTATTTGCAGAAAATTATCAAATATTTTTTTTAGACCAATGAGGTGAAATAGGATGATTTTCTACACCTGACCATCACTAACGGCACACTAGTGTACCGAGGACCAGGGGTTGAAAAACACTGAGTTAGAGACAGTGCCCCCTACTGGAGGACACAGGAGAACATGCAGACTCCACCCAGAAAGGTCCTGGTTCCCCAGGGACTCCGACCCAGAACCCTCTGGTCCTGGTTCCCCCGGGACTCCAACCCAGAACCCTCTGGTCCTGGTTCCCCCGGGACTCCACCCAGAACCCTCTGGTCCTGGTTCCCCCCGGG